GAGAATCCATATGGAACTTCAAAGGGCAAATTGATGGTCCAATCAAAAAAGGCTAAAATCACTTTTGTTTTCTAATTTTTCCTTTTTTTTCTCTACATTTTTCTTGTAGGTAAAAATTCTTCTAATCATAGCTCCAAGGCAAAAAATCTGCAAAAAGCAACGTTCTCCTTATTTGCTCAGATTTAGAGTAATCAAAATGTCTAAGGAAAATACTGCTACTAATCTAGAAAAATTAACTGTTGATGAAAGGGTTGATAAGTTGGAAGCCACAATGCAAACTATGGCTGCCACTCTTCAAGCCATCAGTCTCACCTTGTCAACTCTGACTATTGGTTCTGTTTCTTCATCTACATCTTTAGTGCCCACAACACCTGTTCCATCTGTCCATATTCCATCATCTACCATCACATCGGGTAATCATGTTAAGGTTCCCATGGTCACGCAATTGCAGTTTCCACCTATTGATTAGAATCAGCCTTTAATTGGGGAGTCATCTTCACATGCACCACAAATGTCATCTCTGTTCATTGAAATCTCACACCCACCACTCGAGATGAACAACCCTACCTTGCCCACAACCACACCTTTTACCCTTAATATGCCACCTTTGATGGGACAATTGCCAACTATTCAACCTACCCCTTCAGTTGAGATATTAAAACCCACTTTGGAGGATGGGAAGTCAAAGGAGGTTGATCATAAATTGTAGCAGTTAGAAGAGGCTTTGAAAGCTATGTAAGGGCCACAAGCTTACGGTTCTATTGATTTGGATGATCTTTGCTACTATCTAGGAATTCAAACAAATTTCAAGTTCAAGCAACTGAATTTTGACAGGTATGATGGTTTAAGTTGTCCACATGCCCACCTGCAAATGTATGCCAAGAAAATGGCACCTTATGCTAATGATGAAAGGGTACTCATTCATTATTTTCAAGACAATCTTTTAGGCCCAACAAGTGTTTGGTTCTCAACGCTTGACAAGAGAAAGATTTGTACTTTCAAGGATGTTTCTCAAGTTTTCATGAGGCAGTATGAGTATAATATCAACTTGGCCCTTACAAGGGATAACTTGTAGAGAGTTACCAAGAAGGGTAATGAGACTTTCAAAGAATTTGCTTAATCGTGGAGATTTGAAGTAGCTAAAGTCATTCCACCCCTCACTGATAGTGAAATCTGTTCTCTCTTTATCAAGTCAACTAATGGAACCATCTGTGCATGGTTAACTCCTTGTGTGTGATATACTTTTGCTCATCTAGTAATAGCAGGTGAATAGATTGAAGATGGACGCATTATTATGGACTTTCAATCCATCTAGAAGCAATTAGAGCAAGTCAAGACTGGTAGCGCCAGATTTGCTTCAATGAAGTTTTGCACCCAAAGGGAAAAGAGAAGATGAAGAAGTATTAAGTCATATTTTCACTAGTTGTGCCCAACCAGTTTATAATGTGGCAAATGTTCCTTATAATTGTCAACCTCAATTACAATACTCTTTGACTTAAAAGCCTACTACCTACTCTCATAGGAGGCCAAACTTTAGTGCTTAAGCTTCGGTTAGGTAGCAATTCTTGCCTACAAATCAGCCAAGACAGTTCACTAGGCTTTCAATCCCTTACAATGAGGTGTTGAAACAATCAGTTGAAGTGGGTTTGATGAAGACGATGCAAGCCAACCCTATCCAACCACCTTATCCGTATTGGTATGATTCACAAACTAGATGCGAATACCACAATGTGGCAGGTCATGGTATTGAATATTGTGCAACTTTGAAACATAGAATTCAAGATCTCATCAATGAGAGTAAACCTCAAGTTGATGCTAATGAAGCTAATAGTACTCCAAACATCACTCAAAATCCTTTACCTCTACATGATGCACCCACAATGAATATGGTCGCCTTCAATGTAGTTGAGAGGCCCGTGTTAAAGAATGTCAATTCTTGGTCTCTTGATGAATTGTTTGCCATTTTGACAGAGTATGATTTGGTTTAGTCAATTGCACAAATGAGCTTGAATGTTTCACCTATGATGATTGATAATGCTTTGTTGTGTCTTTACCACTCCAATATGAAGAGGCATTCTTTACAAGATTGTGGAGATTTTCAAAGAAAGGTTAAGAAGCTACAAGGAATGGGAGCTTTGAAGTTTGTGTCATTAGTGACTGAGGAATACTTCACTAACAAGTGGCCTCACATAAGATACTAAAAGGCCACAAGTCATTAGTCAAAATTCACAATAGTCTTATGTCTTGAAAACCTTTCTTGGTGAGTTATCTATGAGGAAAACATCATCTGTGGCCAATACCCATGTTCCTTATCCACTTAAAGACATGCCTCCATGTTATATTGAGGGATTTTCTCATTTTGAATTTTGCAACTAATGATGTATCTAATATGACCCGTAGTGGTCAGAGTTATGTGAGTCTCAAGGTGGAGGAATTGAGAAGGGCTACCTCAAAGTCAAAAGCTATCAAAATTGAGGAGATGCCAGAAGAATCACCCAAGAAGCCAGTGTCAAAAAAGGAAGTTACTGAATTTTGAATATTTTGAGGAAGAGTGAGTATAGCATCATTAAATAGCTCAATAAAAATCCAGTAAAAATTTCTATCTTAGAATTGATGCTGTTATTTGAAGCTCACCAAGATGCGATGCTGTTATCTGAAGCTCACCAGATGCCTTACTTAGAGTTTTGAAAAAAGCCGATGTGCCTAAGAACATTAATACCCAAAAGTTTGGAACTATGGCTGGGGCAATTTTGGCTCCAAATGATGTTAATTTCACTGATGATGAGATTCCTATCGAAGCAAATGGGAATACTAAGGCTCTTGATATTTTTGTCCAATGTAAGATGATGAACGTCCCTCATGTGTTGATTGACAATGGGTTAGCTTTGAATGTGATCTCTTTGGCTGTCTTGAAGTAATTGAAAGTGGATGAGTATCATATTAATCAATGTAATACAGTGGTTCATGCTTTTGATGGAACAAAAAGGGATATAATCGGAAAGACTGAGCTTCCAATGGAAATTGGTCCTATGACTTTTGATGCAGATTTCTTTGCCATGGATATTTCTCTTGCTTTTAATATGCTTCTTTTAAGGCCTTGGATACATGTTGTAGAAGCGGTACCATCCACTGTGCATTAGAAAGTCAAATACATTGTCAATGGTGTCCTTGTTACTATGAATGGCAAGAAAGAGCATGTCATCCAAAAGGTTGCAACCATCCCTTACTTGGGAGTTGATCTCGGAACTTATGAACCCACTTCCTCTAACTGACTTCCAATCTCCAGATCTACTCACCTTCACCTCACAATAGCCACACGTCCTCTCCTCCATCTTATAGCAACCTAACAATCTCTTTGAATCCATTGGCCTTTACTAGTTTTCAATCATCGATTGCTCCCCTTTCTGTTGGTATTCTCTCAATCCGAGGAATTTTGGGGTAGTAGTGAAAGGAATGATTCAAGCCTGATTCCGTAGGTGGGATTCCCCGATCAGACTCTAGTCGACCACCCAAAATTTTGCCATTTAATTCTTCTAGAAAGTATATCCATGTTTGGTTTTGTTGCTAGCTGCATTTTGTAAATGATGATATTAATCTTGAAAATCGGAGTTATTTTTCCTTATTATTGGTTCTTTGTTTGCCACATATGAAATTTGCTTGATATTTGTGTTTAATTTCCTTTTGCTGTTGGGAGCTTGATCAAAAAAAAAAAAAAAGAAGGAAAGAAAAACCCCAGTTTGTGTTCAATTTGATCTGTTTGGACCCAAATTGATATTGGGATTATGTTTGTGAGTTAGGTTGAACTCAGTAGGTTTAAGAAGCAACAAAAAAAAAAACTAAAAAAAAAAGGGTAAAAGATAAAAAAGGGTAAAAAAAAATATAAATAAAATGATTATGATACCATGAGTAATTAATTTAAATTGTTTTTTTTTCTTAATCAGGTAAAAAAAAAGGGTCAAAATTATCTTTTATTAAATTCCAATTTCCCACAACTTTTAAGATTAAGCAATTCGTCTCACCAGTTTTAAATCTTTTCAAATTAGTCCTCCATGTTTCAAGTTTAATCAAATCAGTTCCTCCATTTTTATTTTTGTTGCAATTGTACGTGCATGTTCTTGATTTTGTTCAATTTAATCCAAGTATTTTCAAGCTTCACAATCTCATCCATTTACTTTTATTAGTTGACTTAATCAAAATCGAAAATATTAAAAGTTGAATAAATCTCCAAATGTTAAAGTATGCAACCGTGTTCTACATGGAAGATTGTAGGGTGCGCATATGCCTTTCCTCACTCCTAACCGTACCCCCGAACCCCAATCTCTGCGCAAACCATGTTGTGGGTGACTTATCCCACCTTATAATTGGACAAGTAGCGACTCCTTTTCTTTTCTTTTTTTACACCTAATTTTTTCATATTATATATAAAATATAAAATTTTCTTTTAAAAAAATTTTAAGTGGTTGTCAACAGATTGGCAACTCCACTGGGGATCGAATCTAAAATCTTTGGTTATCCATATTTTGGTTTCACGATAGTCAAGCTAATACTTTCACTTTAGGGATTTTTCAATTTTTAGTTTTCCTTGATGGTTGAGTCATTTTGGTTTTCTTTGATTATTGAGTCATTTGTTTGAGTCTTGTTTATTTGTTTCCTTGCTTGGTGCTTTTACCTTTCACCTTTGGATGTTCTAATTCAGCCATATTAAGACATGTATCATACTTTATTCACATTTTCATTCATCATATCATCTTGTATGTTCATACATCATTCTTATACATGTTTATGCATCTTGCATCATGCTTATTTGCTCATCTACTTGCTTGTGGGTGTGCTTACCTTTTGCATTTGGCATTGGAGTACTAGATGAGTTCCTACCAATTGTGTAAGTAGGTTTCTTCATGGATGCTATACTTGTTGGGTGATTTACATGCTTGATTTGCTTTTATGTTTTATCTATTTGCTATGGGATATTGTTGCTAGTTGAGCTTGTCTTGTGCAAATTATTAAAGTGACATGCCCTTTGCACACACTCACTTGCATCATTATATTCATGTCTGAAGGGAACCCGACCTTTAAGTCTAGCATCCTTACGAATCTAGCTTGGTAAAGCAATTCTTCTTGCCTTAAGGAGTAAGGTCAATTCACTTTAGATTGTTTCCATTTGTTAATACAACACCTGATGATGTAATATTGTCCTGTGTATTAGCATTTGGAAATATCTCCCATTGATTCTGAAAAGATAAATGGTTGAGAAGGCCTAATGCCCTTTATGAAACCATGCAGTGAACTTAAAAAGAAGCCACCCATAGGACTTGTTAGCCTAGAAAGCCACCAGTGAGGTTATGATTCCCATGTCTAGGTACACAAGGGGGCATTTTACATCTTACCTTACTTTGTGCACTTGTAGGTATTCATTGAATCAACTGTGTCAAGTATTATGACACCCATGATGCTTATTCATTCCATGCACTTTGCTTTTTCAATTTCTATTCAGTACTACATGAAACCATTCACTTTGCACTTTCACTTTCTATTCCATATGTCATAAAAGAAAAGATTTCATAATTGTTTTACATGTCATACATCCATTCCATTCGTTTCACATTAAATCTTCCATTTATCATCAACCTTTCACACATCATATGTTCATTATATTGCATTTTCCATTGCATTCATCACAAGATATGTTTTCATGTTCATTTCACATGATATTCTCTATTCTAATCATTTTACATTTCATTTTTCATCTCATATTTCACAAAATTTCCAAAAAAATGAAATTTCACCCATGTTTATTAGATTACATTTTCCATCTCAAATATATATATAAATTGCATAAAAAAATATTAGTTCAAATTCACTTCACAATGCATTTTCATCTCTGATAACTGTGAAACATTCACCTAAAAATGCAAGCACACATTATCATATCAAGTAACAAAGAGTGAGTAAAGTATCATTCCCACAAGGATTAATGATGAAAATTTTACTAAGTACCTAAATTATGTTAGTGCTAATTTTATCTAACCATCAAAAACTCTTTAAGTAAAAGCAAATTTCTTAAACTAAACTAAAGAAAATAATTAATTCTTAAAAATGATGGTTTAACCTCTATAAAAAGTTCAGGGTTATGTCTACTTACTTGCACAATCCATTCACATTCAATTCACCCAAATCCTAATCATTCTGCTCTCTTGAATCATGTCCAAGAATCTTTGAGTTTTTATTGATCCTCTTTCAAGTGACAGTAAATTATCTCAATCCACCGACTTATATATTTCTACATGCAGTGCAGTAAATTGAAACTAAAATTTAGGTGCAGTGATTCTTCTCTCAAGAACGCATCAATCCTAAGAGTATATTTCTATCTCCTCAAATTAATGGCATTCATTTGGTGGTCTCATTTAACTATTCCCTCTCAGTTCAAGTTAAACATCCATACATCTTGTTAATTGGCCAATTCAACAAGAAAACAATGTACAAATGAAATACTAATTCGAAATGAAGCAAAATAGATCGGGCTCTGACTTCTCAAAATGAAAACTTCATGACTTGGATTTCAACATAACCCCAAGTACAAAATTATTCCATAATCAAAGATAGAAAACAAACAATTGTATTGGAATTCATTAACACTAAAACAGAAAAGTAGAACTTAACACAGGTTTTCTATGGGTACAAGGAAAGAAATCACTAATATGAATTTGGAAGAAGTCTGCCCATTCAATGTTGTGTATGAGAAAAGATGGAAAAATGCAGATTTTTCCTCTCCCCTTGCTTCTCCCCTTTTTCTTTTCTGACTGTTCTCTCTCTTTTTCTTAACATCCACCAGACAGTTTTTTTTTTCTTTGACAGTTTCTTCCCTTTTGCTCCACTAATTCCTTCCTATTTTCACATTAAACGGCCCACTAACTCCAAAACTGCCCTGCTATCTTTTAAGCCATGAAATTTGATGATGTGGCTCTTAATATTTGAAGTTGGTTTGACTTGAAACATGTTCAAACCAGAATCTTCAATCCTTCAATTTTCCAATTTTGTTACTAGAGCCTCCAACTTTTCAAAAGTTGCTATTTTAGCCCCCACCTAAGCGAAAACAACCAAATTATGTAAAATCACAAAGAATCTCACATAAATAGTACATTGATCTTAAATTAAGGCTAGATTGACCTATAAAACTGCATTAAAGTTGGTCTCATCAAATTCCCCCAAACTTAAACTTTGCTTGTCCTCAAGCAAGAAAATGAACTTTAAGAACTAAAGTTAACCTGGATGAGATGATTTGAACTTACATATCATGACACAATAATCAATGCAATGCAAATTTCAATCAAAGATCAAAGGATTGAAGAAGTTCAAGTTTTAACTCAATTGTCAATGACATCCCATGGTGAAAAACCAAGAATTACATGTGAACCTTTCACAAAATAAATGCCTTCATCCTTGATCAATTTATACAGACAAGTGTTGGCAAAATGCCAAAATAGCTCTTAAATGAACTACCATAAGCTTGCTTATCATATCATCTCTCCACTAATGTAGGCATAAGCAATTTTCAAAGATCAAAAGGACTTTATCAAGGGTTGAAATGTTAGGCTTGGGTGTTGGCTAATCAAATGAAAGGAAAAGGATTTACAAAATAAGAAAGCTTCACAACAAAACTACCATGAGCATCGGAGATCAAACTTTGTGTTTCTTTTTCTTTTCTTTTCTTTTCTTTTTTACTTCTTTTTCATAATGAAAATTGCAACTTCAAATAGACATAGCTAGATAAGCCACAGTAAACTTTTTTTTTTTTTTTTCAGAATGAATCACTTCCATATATGTATAGAGAAGCATGATCTCATTCCCCAAATCTTGCTTTCTACAACATAACCAACAACCTAACTTCAGTACTCACTCTCCTAATTTTACTTTATGTAATTTCATTGAGAATTCTCTTAAAAAGGGTGAGGTAGAATATTTTCTTGTTGATCAGGTTAGGATGATGTAGTTACCATGAAAGAAAAGGTTAATGAACTTTGGCTCAAAGGTGGAACTAGGGATAAAATTTTACAAGGTAAGCTTGAAAGGCTCAAACTGTCAAACAATGGCCTTAATCATTTCTTTGTTAACTGCAATGCCTAGGATTTCACCTCAAGAGATAATCAAGCAAGTTCTTGAGTTCAAA